AGCATTTGTAACTTAATAGAAGGGGGAAGAGAGAACTAGAGAAGAAGGGAGGAAAGACGGGGAGAATACCCGAAGAAGAAGCAGACCTGCGGAGAAGGCAAGTCGATCTACGGCGGCGAGTGATGACAACGGACTTCCTGATGGCGATGGCGATGGCTATGATCGATTGGGCTTCTAGGTCTGGCTGCTCCTTTGTGAAGGAGAAGAGAAGAAGGATTCGTAGATCTGCGGCAGATGGAAAAGAAGATGGCGCAGGGGAGGAATAATGAGATGCGGAGAAAGAAGTGTGGCGTGCGCAGGAAAAAGAAATAAAGTAGGGGTAAATGTGTAATCCAGTCCCATTTAGGGAATAAAAATATACATACTCCTATTAAGGAATTTTAGGAACAATTTAGTCCTATTTGGAGCAAAAAAATAATGTTTTTAATGCAAAATAGTAATCTAAAACTAAAATAAAGAGTTTCAAGATTTCTTAGATTTTTTTTAAATCAACCTTATTAACATACTTATAATACATAAAAACACATCAGAAGGCGATTCAAACATGTAACCAGGCCAAGAATCATCCCGGAACCAAAGGGTCAGCCCAATCAATGTCCAATAGACCCGAACATGTAACCAGGCCAAAAGTATGCTTGTTGGTTAGTAGTGAATTCTTGTTGAAGGCTAGGGTTCTAATCCCATCGGGGGTTGGTTTCTTCTTGACGTCGTATTTGTACAATTTTACGGGTTTTGCCTATTCCGGGTGTAGTTTGGGTCAGCGTCGGTTAGGGATGGACCCGAGCCGGTCCGGTTCCGGTTCCGGGCCGGGCCCGGGCGGGCTTTTTTTCGGGTTACATGGGCCCGGAACCGGCCCGGGTTGATACCGGGTTCGGGCCTAACCGGGCCGGGCCGGGCCCGGTTCAATGTTTTTTTTTTTTTTTTTTTTTTTTTTGACTTTCTTGTTATCTCCCTACCCCCCCCCCCCTCACCCCCACGTCCCAAACCTCCCTAAAACACCCAGCCCTACCCTAGGAAAAGAAAAAAAATTGAAAAAACCAAAAAAAAAAAAAAATGAACCGGGCCCGGCCCGAACCGCCCGGGCTGGTTCAACAAAAATAGGGCCCGGAACCGGCCCGCCCGACCCGCCAACACGGGCTAAAAGCCCGGAACCGGCCAACCGGGCCCGGTCCGGGCCCGCACAGTAGCGGGCCGGTCCGGTTCCGGGCCGGTTCGGCCCGGCCCAGTCCATCCCTAGCGTCGGTCATCAGGTGTTTTATATTTTGGATATATTAGCAGCTTGAAACCCGACAGATTGGGCTCCTCACCTGATTCTTGGTTGAAGCGATTGAACAATTTGATCCAATTCTTGTAACATAGCAAAAGAGTACGCTAAGAACCAAATCCAGTGGTTTGTTACGTAGTATTAAATTAGTAGAATAATACTTTCTTCATCCCTCTTAAGATTTTTTAATTGAAAGAAATTTTAATCCTCAAAATTCCCTTTTGGTCACGTATAATCTGGTATAGTATGGTTTGATCTGAACTGATCTGATAGATATGTGTTACAGTATACGTTTATTTTATAAAAATCGTAGTTTGGGAATAAAATTGGTCCAAATTTATCCGTACTTTAGCAAGAATGTCACCTATTTCAGCAAATTCAATTGACTTAACCAATTTAAATTTTACCACACAGATTTGATATTGTTTTCAATGCACACAGTTTTTACAACATTGTTTTTTGTACACAAATTTTTTTATCCACCACTACGAGCTAGTCACCTAAAATAAATTGTTCACAAACGTATATACGTATAAAAATTGGACACAAATAATTTTCTTCTCAAAAAGAGCCAAGAGTGTTGCACACCTCTTTGTCGCGTGAATTGAAGTTTCTATGCTGTTCATACCATGTGTCATTAATATGCCGGTGCTTATGATTGGTACAGCTTCATAATTACTTTTAAATAAATGTATACTCCGTATCCAAATTACTCCCTATATTAATTACTCATCGAATGAATCATCAGATCATCATTCAACTATTCATCAATCCTATAAACGTGGCAGATGCGTACCACAAATTTGGTCATGAAAAGATGCGAACTCTTGTTGATCTCTGTAGGAAACATTGACTTCATAATAAACTCTAGAATTAAGACTAAGATAAACTCATTTAGTACGCAGTACACTTTAGTCTACATTTATAGTGACATTCAACAACTACATAGAAATGCAAAAATCCAAAAATAATGTATTCCTAGACTACATTTAGTCTAATTTATGGTAATGTTTACGGAAAATAATTATGCATTCCCTTTTGTTAAAAATGACAATATTTCATTGTGTCTAAACGAAATAATCGTTGCACACTACATACTCTTAAATCTGAGGATAAAAAAGTAATAGTTTGATTTCTTCTCACATTAACAAACATAAGAAGGGATTTTCTACTAACTTTAACAAACATAAAGAGTCTTATGCATCTAAAAGATATACCGATTACCGAGCTATAAAACAATGTGACATTGTTTTTGTAAAAGGAAGATAATGTATTTAGTCATAACAGCCCGCTTTCTTCATTTCGAATAAACAAAAAATAACAAGAAAGCTTTTTCAATAGTACCAAAATACCCACGGTTTACTCTTTTAATAACACTAACTAACCAAAAACAGCAAAAAGATCATTTCTTTAAAAGAAATGACCAGATAGTTACGAGAAAAACGTGGGTATTTTGGACAAAATGAAGCATAAGCTTATAAACTAAATAATGAAACTGAGAATAATAACCCAAAAAATGGAGAAAAAAAGACAGCTAACAATAATTGCCCCCAACTAGTTGTGAAGAGGATCTGGACAACTAGGAACTCTTCTTACGCTCTCCGAAAACGACGTCGTCGCATTGCCGGCATCTCTCAGCCCTTGAGAAGGAACAGATCTCGAATTCCTCAAATATGCCCGACTAAGCTCCGTTTCTTCCACCGGAGTTGGCGGAAATATCCGTATTGCCACCGCCCGGCTACGGCCGTGAGGAGCCGGGATGACGATCAGCGCAATAACAAAAGCAGCCGCCCACACGGCGGCGGGGGCCGTCCATCGCCGTCCGGCGGGATATGGTGATGACATGGCCGTGGCGGCAGGACGAGCTGGGGTCCACCAACATAAAGCTTTGCCCTGTTTTTGCTCCCTCCCTCCAACAAATAGCTTTCTCTCTCTAGGGATATTATTTTAGAGGTCCAGGGTTCGTCAGGCGTGTAGGAACGGAGTGTGTATGTATATGAGGGGTGGCTGAAGCTTTGAAGGAGAAGTGACGGCTCTTTGGTCTGTATAGAGAGTTTGTGGGGGTGATGGGCCGAAACAGATATACGTCAAATCCCACGGGAAGTGCTATTCAATGATGTTTTATATACGGAGTAGTTGGGTTGGGTGTGACAAAACAAAATGTATATTTGGAGTAGATGTTAATCTTATCCCTAAATCATTTCAATAACCATGAACACATCTGCATAGGGCTAAGCACGGGTCGGGTTCAGGCGGGTCGGGTCTGCATACCCTAAACCCGTTCGAGTTTTTTAAGTTAAATACTAGGTCCGGCCCTTTTGATATTTCAAATCGGGTTTTTCAGATATTTGTAAGTCAGATATTATCGGATATCAGATTGGGTTTCGGATATTTTGGTTATATTAAAAAAAATTATAATTGGATAATTAAAGTGTTTGAATGCCTCTTTGACAAAAATTCTACAAACTAGTGCACTAAACATTCAAATCACGCAAATAATTTAATACAAATTGCATAAATAATTACACAAATAATTGAACACAAGTATTAATTTAATATATTCAAAGTACACACTACATAATTTAATATATTTCGAATATTTCGGTTATATTAAAACACATTATAATTGGATAATTGAAGTGTTGGAATGTCACTTTGACAAAAATTGTACACACTAGTGCACTACACACCCAAATTACAAAAATAATTTAACACAAATTGCACAAATAATTACACAAATAATTGAACACAAGTATTAATTTAACATATTCAAAGTACACACTAATATATTTCGGATATTCGGGCGGGTCGGGTTGGGATTTTACAAACCCTACCCGCCACCCGATCTAGGCCCAATACTAATCGGATTTTCGGTTTCGGGTTTTTCGGGTCGGATATCCATTTCGGTTCGGATATTATCCGAAAAACTTCGGGTTTTGCGGGTCGGTTCGGGTTTTGCTCAGCCCTACATCTACATTAAAGTTTTCATTAGTACCTTACAATTTTCACAAGTTTGACCGGCACGAATTAAAAACTGTGTACTTGAGATTTGTGAATAATAATAAGAGTAGCAATGTAACACCGCCCCCAAGTATTTGTACTTTATCAAATTATGTATTGAACCCAGGAAATGAATAAAAGCATTTTACGTGATTGTGAATTTTTATCATTCCTTTTACGTGAATAGTAAAATTCACGTGGGGCCCACACCGGAAGTGGGGGCCGCCCGATAATATCGGGACCACATATTATATTCATTTGGGTCAAGATAATATGTGTATAATGGTGGGTATCCTTGTTGGACCATATAAATTAGGTGAGTAACCGATAGGGCATATGAAGCTCACTTATCAGTACCGGCGTACTGACAGATAGAAGCCATAATAAATTATGGAGACCACCAGATTGAAAGTTGGGGAATATACATTCATTCTTATAGCCAATAATAATTGGAAGAATGAGAGATATTTCATTTTACCCGATAAAACGAAAGATAATTCAAACAGTCCGGAAAATACAACTTTCGGGACCGAATGTACACTCGGGGACACAAAGGGATGACCACCCATCTAAGTGGGGGCCATCCCCACGTTTTTAGTCTACAAATGAAAAGGGGGAGCCGCACAAGGAAATGGGAGAGGGGGCATGAATGGATTGGGATCAAAATAATAAGGTGTATGGGACCCTCCCATGTTATAATTGGGAGATATGCCAAAAAGGCATTCTCCATCAACAACCAATCACCCCATTCGAATTATACATCCCCAAGGGAGAGAGGAGCTCTTCAAGACACACCTCCATAGTCTCCAGCCGTGCTCAAGAAAGAAGGGAGCTCAAGGGAGAGGATTAAGGGTGAAAAAGTGAGGAAAAGCTTTGGATAATAAGGTAATGGTTCCACAAATCCTTTCTCCTTTCTTCCAATATGATTATGTAATCATAATTCATACCCATAGAACTGTTCTTCACATTATATGTAAAGAATGAGGGGTTGGAAGGTTGGTTCATATCCAAAACGAACTTTGAGAGCAAAGTTGACGGGTTCGTCGGAAAATAACCTTTTAGGGGTTATTTGTGGTGATATGGGTTCTATGATGATAAAACCTTGTTGTTAACTTGTATAAGGTACTTCAAGGACTTTCACGGAGTTGAAAGGGTCGCCGGAGTTGTCGCCGGAGTTAGTCGAAGTTCACCGGAGTTACACCGGAGCTCAATAAGAGAGGCTAGAACTTCATAAGCTTCTTTTAAGGTGAGAAGACGGCTATATGCTTTATAACTTTTGATTGAGGCATGAGATTACCTAAAGTAATCAAGTATATGTTTTACGGAATGATTAAAGTTAATCAAGTATTGGCTTATGCCATGATTATATATAAAACAAAGTTGAAAAGCATGTTTTGTATGTTTGGTGATTAAAAATGTGATAACTTATTATGTACAATGATCCAGGGGTCAAAAATGGTATTTTTGGATCAAGGACTTCAAGTAGATTATGCATGTAAACTTTCACGTTAATCGGACTCCGTTTGGGCGGTCAAACGGGCGTTGACCGCCAAGTCTACTACAATACCCGACCGGGTGTCTGCTGAGAAATTGGCCCCAAGGGCCGCTGTCTCCTATACCCGATCGAGTATGGATAGATACTCGATCGAGTATGCCTTGAAAATTAGCCTTTTGGGCTCCTGTCTCCTGTACTCGACCGAGTATTGATGGGTACTCGATCGAGTATTGGGTTATACTCAAAACGGGTAGTTTTTGAGTAGGTTAACGTGGACCGATCAGGTGGGACCCGTCCATGTTGGTTACTAAGGATTATTATATGACTATAGGACTAGGTATTGTCCATAGTTAAGTGAATGCAAGGTTAGCCATATCCAGGTTAGGGTTTGGTTAGAAATAAGGTTGAGGTTGAGTATCCTCGGGACGGTAAATGATCCTAAAACTCGGTTGAGGTTGAGCATCCTCGGGACGGTAAATGATCCTAAAACTCGGTTGAGGTTGAGCATCCTCGGGACGGTAAATGATCCTAAAACTCGGTTGAGGTTGAGCATCCTCGGGACGGTAAATGATCCTAAAACTCGGTTGAGGTTGAGCATCCTCGGGACGGTAAATGATCCTAAAACTCGGTTGAGGTTGAGCATCCTCGGGACGGTAAATGATCCCAAAACTCGGATGGGGTTGAGTATCCCCGGGAGGGTTAACACTCCTGAAACTCGGTAGGATATTATGAAGGTAGAATGTAGCTCTTAAGCTAGGCATTCAGGAATGAAAGGGGAAAGGTTGGGTGAGTACCTTGTCTCTAAAAGACTCTTTTGTGAGAAAATGACCTACGGGTCAAGTATTTTACAAGTATATACACTATGTATTATCTTGGGAATGGGGTGACAATGGTTACACCTATAAATATATGTATCATCCTATTTTTGGGTCTCGTGTCTGAGACATTAGTTATTCCTCATATAGCCTGCTTGTCACTAGTACTTCTATGGAGTACTGACCCCTTCGGGGGCCCTCACATTTTTCAGGTTGAGGCTAGAGTCCTGCTACCTGCACCTTTGCCCAGGGTGAACTCAAATAAGGAAGACGTGGTTCGTGCTTCCATTCTTATTTGAAATTATGAACTTGCTCATGGATATTTGAACGATGTTTTCTATTAAACTATTGAAGGGCCTGCGTGCTCATGTTTGCCACGTGTGGCTAAATGTCAAACATATTTTATTTCCGCATTTGTTTGATTTATATATTGATGTTGATTGTATGGGTTTACTAATCGGTTTGGCAATAGAATCTATCGGACGCCTTGTATGATTTGATAAGAATGAGCTACGTTGTTCTTATTGGGTTGTACGGCGGTTGTCTACGTGGCACGGATGCGGTCCGGGGCGTGACAATTAAGTGGTATCAGAGCCATCGATTTCTAAACTATATAATTAACCTCTCAATATAGTATCATCAAAAATGTTTTGAGCAAAACCATGAGCAAAAGTTTTTGTACTTAAGGAACCGTTGGAAACCAAGTTATTGACCTCTTATTGTTAAGACGGTACCCTTAACAGTTTGTTGGCCATAATGTTGGACCAAGTGGTGTCTTTTGTACTATTCCGTCAATTGACATTGATACGAGTCTAACGGCTCATTCCAAATTTCTTTCAGAAATGGAGGGTAGAGGCATGGCTACGAGGAACAACCCGAGAGGGCAAACTCCGGTGACGTCCGAAGGGGCTAGCCAGGTTGCATCTCGGGGCGCGAGAGGCGGTAGGAGAGGCCGTGGAGGCCGTGGAGGCCGGGGAGGCCGTCGGGCTCAAACCGTGAGCGATGGCCATGTTAGCTCGGTGCATGGAACTCACACCGAGGATTATGACTCTACCTATGTTCCCGAGACGGAACATGAGGAGACCCCATATGATGGGGGTGATACGTATACTGATGATGACAACGATGAGAGTGATGCCAAATTCGCCCAGATGGGTGAACTGTTTGAGTGGTATCAAAAGGAGAAGTTGAGGAGAGATCTTAGGCGCCAAGCTAGGCGTGCCTCTCAGGGGGCTTCAGGTCACGGAAGCCGGGGAGCATCAGTGGCTACACCTGTGGCGTCACAGGAAATGCATGGAGGAGGTTTTTGTGTAAGAATCTCCAAATACCTCAAGGAGGCTAGGGCCTTGGGGTGCAAGTCATTTGACGGCAAGGGTGATATATCGGTGGCTGCCGATTGGATAAAGAAGCTAAATGAGGCTGCTAGGGATATGCAGATCGGGCTTGATATAAAGCTGACAGTTGCTACCAGGTTACTGGAGGGAGTAGCCGCGGTATGGTGGGAAGGCGTGGAAGGAAAGTTCCACGGTGAGACCACCTGGGAGAAATTTGAAGTAGAATTCTATAATCAGTACTACTCAGAGTTCGAAAAGAACCAGAAGAGGAAGGAGTACATGACCCTGGTACAGGAGGAGGATTGCTCGGTGAGGCAACTGGAACAAAGGTTCCGGGACTTGGCACGATACATACCTGAGTACGCCATGGATGAGAACCGCATGGCTAATCACTTCTGGGATACCCTACAGTTGGATATCCGTGATAGGGCCACCTACAATCATCACATGACTTTTAGTGAGATTGTGGATCAAGGGCTACTTGGGGAAGCCAAGTGGAATGAAAGGAAGAAGAGAGACGCCGAAGAGGCGAAGAAAAGAAGATGGGGAAATTCTGGACCCCAAGACCATTCTCGGAAACATCACGCCGGGAATGGAAGATCATTCAGGGCGCCGGAACCACCGGCAAAGAAGAGTAAGGGCCCAGGAGGGCAAGGGCATAGCTCGGGGGGCGTGAGGCCACCAAGGTGTCCGAACTGTAACAGGAATCACTCCGGGAAGTGCAATGAACCACCCCGGTGCTACAAGTGTGGTAGCACAAGCCACCTCAAACTCTCTTGCCCAATGTTGAGTGGAGGTGGGCCATCGGGAGCTGTTGAGGCACCTACGTCTGGTAGGGGTCGTGCGGGACCATCTCAAGGCGGCACGGGAAGGGGCGGACCCACGGCCAGTAACGCCGCGTCCGTTAACCAAGGGAGGACCCAAGCACGGGTGTATGCAATGACCGAGGCCGATGCTCGGGCCAACCCGGACTCTATTACAGGTAACCCCTTGAATCCACATGCATTTTCATGTGTTTTAAAGCTGAAAATCTGCAGGAAACATGTAATACCCGATCGAATATCCATATATACCCGATCGGGTATGGGCAAATTGCTCGGTCTCGAAGTGTGTACTCGTTCGAGCACGTTTAGCAGGGCCCTTTGATTTTGGCAAATCCAGCCATACTCGACCGAGTATGGTTATATACTCGATCGAGTATTAGTGGAATTTTGTTTTTAAGGCGTGTACTCGATCGAACGTCGTGGGCAGGAAACTCTTGTTTAAAACTTTGAGTAATACCCGACCGGGTATAGGCATATACCCGACCGGGTATAGATGTTCGGTTCGGGTTCGGGGTGTGTACTCGACCGAGCAGGGATTCCAGGGGATTGTTGTTTAAAAACCTGAGTAATACCCGACCGGGTATGGGTATACACTCGATCGGGCAAGGTTAACAGAGAGTTTCTTCTTAAGAGCTCGAGTGTTACCCGACCGGGTATGGAGGGTTACCCGACCGGGTATAAGGTAGTCCTAAGCTAGAATACTTGTCGTCCAGTCCTTATCAGTCGGACGTTGAGTAGTGTGTCTTACATGACTTATGTATGTAGGGACACTAAAGATCAATGGCAGACAAGCGAGAATTCTCATCGACACCGGGGCGCAACGTTCATTTATGAGCGAAGCGTTTGCCGAGGGTTTGGACATGCCATTAACGGCGATGACGCAACCTCTGTTGGTCTCTACACCGTTGGGAGACGATGTAGAGAGGAAGCACTACTATCCTTCATGTAATGTGGAGATAGGGGAGCACCGCCTAATGGGCGACTTTGTACCGTTAGACATGCTCGAGTTCGATGCCATACTCGGCATGGATTGGCTTGAGAAACACCATGCAAAGGTAGATTGCTACACCAAGGTGTTAGAATTAGAAGACGGCGAGGGAAATACTCTATGCTTCGAGGGAGATAGAGGAAGGTTCAATCCCTGCATCATATCGGCCTTAAGGGCGAGGCGTCTGATGAACAAAGGCTATCAGGCATACTTAGCCTATGTCATAGGCAAGGAAAGCAAAGGAAAGAGCCTCACGGAGGTGAGGGTGGTGAGTGAGTACCCAGAAGTTTTCCCCGAAGAACTCCCGGGACTCCCACCAGATCGGGAGATCGAGTTTGAGATTGAGGTTGAACCAGGCACCAAGCCCATCTCAATTCCTCCGTATCGAATGGCACCGGCTGAACTTCAAGAATTGAAAGTTCAATTGGAAGAGCTACTAGATAATGGATTCATTAGACCGAGTCATTCACCATGGGGAGCACCCGTACTCTTTGTAAAGAAGAAGGATGGTACAATGAGAATGTGTATCGACTACCGTCAATTGAACAAGGTCACAATAAAGAACAAATATCCTTTGCCAAGGATTGACGACTTGTTTGATCAATTACGGGGGGCAACCGTGTTCTCCAAGATCGACTTGAGGTCGGGCTACCATCAACTAAAGATCAAGGAGAGTGACATACCCAAAAGTGCATTCCGTACAAGGTATGGTCACTATGAGTTCCTAGTGATGTCGTTTGGGCTTACAAATGCCCCCGCGGCATTCATGGACCTCATGAACCGAGTATTTCATCAATACTTGGACCAATTTGTCATAGTGTTCATTGATGATATTTTGATATACTCCAAGAACGAAGAGGAACACGAGAAACATCTAAGACTCGTGCTTGAAACACTGCGGGAGAAGCAACTCTTTGCCAAATTCTCTAAATGTGAATTTTGGCTTGGGGAGATCGGTTTTCTCGGGCATGTGGTATCAGGCTCGGGCATTTCAGTTGATAACTCGAAGATTGAAGCAGTCACTAATTGGGAGAGGCCCAAGAATGTGAAGGAAATACGGAGTTTCCTCGGTTTAGCGGGGTATTACCGCAAATTCGTGGAGAAGTTCTCGGTGATAGCATCTCCACTCACGAAGCTCACTAAAAAGGGGGCTAAGTTTGTGTGGGATGACAAGTGCGAGAAGGGGTTTCTTGAGCTAAAGAAACGTTTGACTGAAGCACCAGTGCTTGCCCTACCCGTACAAGGGTTAAGGTATGACATCTACAGTGATGCTAGTATCCAGGGGCTTGGATGCGTACTGATGCAATCAGGGAAGGTAATTGCTTATGCTTCTCGACAGTTGAGGAAGCATGAAGTAAATTACCCCACGCATGATCTGGAGCTGGGGGCTGTGGTGTTTGCTTTGAAGATTTGGAGGCATTACCTCTACGGTGAGGTGTGTCACATTTATACTGATCACAAAAGTTTGAAGTACGTGTTCACTCAGAAAGAGTTGAACATGAGGCAGAGAAGATGGATGGAGCTGATCAAGGATTACAACTTGATTATTGAGTATCATCCAGGGAAGGCTAACGTGGTAGCCGATGCTCTTAGTAGGAAGAGCTCATCGGGGGTTTTACTCTCATGCTTGCAAGCATTGAGGGCACGCGTGGAGGTATCCACGAATGGGGCTCTATTGGCCAGATTTGAGGTGAGACCCACCTTATTAGACGAAATCAGGACGCGTCAAGGCAATGACGAGGAAATTCAGAAAATCCGGGAACGGATGCTGGTGGGACCTGTCGAGGGTTTCCGTGAGAGGGAAGATGGACTCCTACTATTCAGGGAGCGAGTGTGTGTGCCGTCAGACGAGGAGCTCCGAAAATCTATTCTTGAGGAGGCTCACTCATCTGCGTATGCCATGCACCCGGGTGGAACAAAGATGTACCGGGACTTGAAGGAAAGTTACTGGTGGTCAGGGATGAAGAGAGAGATTGCAGAATATGTGAGTCGTTGCCTTACCTGTCAGCAGGTTAAGGCAGAGCACCAGCACCCAGCGGGGTTATTACAGCCACTTACCATCCCAGAATGGAAGTGGGAGCATGTTACTATGGACTTCGTGGTAGGTCTACCACGCACGGTTAGGAACTATGATGCAGTGTGGGTGGTGGTTGATAGGTTAACCAAGAGTGCTCATTTCCTTCCTATCAACACTACTTATACGCTTGAACGACTGGCCAAGTTGTACACAGATGAGATTGTGAGACTGCATGGGGTTCCAGTTACGATAGTATCGGATAGAGACCCACGGTTCACATCACGGTTTTGGCCTAAGTTCCAGGAATCCATGGGAACAAAGTTGAGGTTTAGCACGGCATTCCATCCTCAAACAGATGGGCAATCTGAACGGGTGATTCAGATTTTGGAGGACATGTTGAGGGCATGTGCCTTAGAGTTCCAAGGAAGTTGGGACAACCAGTTGGCCTTGGTGGAGTTTGCTTATAACAACAGTTATCAAGCAAGTATAGGCATGCCTCCATACGAGGCATTGTATGGGAGGAAATGTCGGACACCTTTGTGTTGGGATGAGGTAGGCGAGGCTAAGCTTGAGGGCATCGAGCTAGTCGAAATCACCAAGGAGAAGGTGAGGGTTATCCAGGATAGGCTCAAGGCTGCCCAAGATCGGCAGAAGAGTTATGCAGATAAACGTCGGAGGACGTTAGAGTTCGAGGTCGGCGATGAGGTATTTCTGAGGGTGTCACCTTGGAAAGGGATCATCAGGTTCCTCAGTCGGGGTAAGCTTAACCCACGCTACATAGGCCCATTCAAAATCATTGAAAGGATCGGGGTTGTAGCATACCGGCTTCAGTTAACTCCAGAATTAGAAAAGATTCATGATGTATTTCATGTTTCTATGCTCAAGAAGTATGTACGGGACCCGTCACATATTCTTGAGAAACCACCGGTGGAAATCCGGGAAGACCTTCACTATGCGGTGCAGCCGGTAAAGATCATGGACCGACAGGTAAAGAAGCTAAGGAGTAAAGAGGTACCGATGGTGAAGGTACTTTGGAAGAGTGATCGTGTCGAGGAGCAAACTTGGGAAGTGGAGACCCTGATGAGGGAACAGTATCCATTTCTGTTTGACTAGACACGTGGATTCCGGGGACGAAATCCCAAATAAGGGGGGTAGAACTTGTAACACCGCCCCCAAGTATTTGTACTTTATCAAATTATGTATTGAACCCAGGAAATGAATAAAAGCATTTTACGTGATTGTGAATTTTTATCATTCCTTTTACGTGAATAGTAAAATTCACGTGGGGCCCACACCGGAAGTGGGGGCCGCCCGATAATATCGGGACCACATATTATATTCATTTGGGTCAAGATAATATGTGTATAATGGTGGGTATCCTTGTTGGACCATATAAATTAGGTGAGTAACCGATAGGGCATATGAAGCTCACTTATCAGTACCGGCGTACTGACAGATAGAAGCCATAATAAATTATGGAGACCACCAGATTGAAAGTTGGGGAATATACATTCATTCTTATAGCCAATAATAATTGGAAGAATGAGAGATATTTCATTTTACCCGATAAAACGAAAGATAATTCAAACAGTCCGGAAAATACAACTTTCGGGACCGAATGTACACTCGGGGACACAAAGGGATGACCACCCATCTAAGTGGGGGCCATCCCCACGTTTTTAGTCTACAAATGAAAAGGGGGAGCCGCACAAGGAAATGGGAGAGGGGGCATGAATGGATTGGGATCAAAATAATAAGGTGTATGGGACCCTCCCATGTTATAATTGGGAGATATGCCAAAAAGGCATTCTCCATCAACAACCAATCACCCCATTCGAATTATACATCCCCAAGGGAGAGAGGAGCTCTTCAAGACACACCTCCATAGTCTCCAGCCGTGCTCAAGAAAGAAGGGAGCTCAAGGGAGAGGATTAAGGGTGAAAAAGTGAGGAAAAGCTTTGGATAATAAGGTAATGGTTCCACAAATCCTTTCTCCTTTCTTCCAATATGATTATGTAATCATAATTCATACCCATAGAACTGTTCTTCACATTATATGTAAAGAATGAGGGGTTGGAAGGTTGGTTCATATCCAAAACGAACTTTGAGAGCAAAGTTGACGGGTTCGTCGGAAAATAACCTTTTAGGGGTTATTTGTGGTGATATGGGTTCTATGATGATAAAACCTTGTTGTTAACTTGTATAAGGTACTTCAAGGACTTTCACGGAGTTGAAAGGGTCGCCGGAGTTGTCGCCGGAGTTAGTCGAAGTTCACCGGAGTTACACCGGAGCTCAATAAGAGAGGCTAGAACTTCATAAGCTTCTTTTAAGGTGAGAAGACGGCTATATGCTTTATAACTTTTGATTGAGGCATGAGATTACCTAAAGTAATCAAGTATATGTTTTACGGAATGATTAAAGTTAATCAAGTATTGGCTTATGCCATGATTATATATAAAACAAAGTTGAAAAGCATGTTTTGTATGTTTGGTGATTAAAAATGTGATAACTTATTATGTACAATGATCCAGGGGTCAAAAATGGTATTTTTGGATCAAGGACTTCAAGTAGATTATGCATGTAAACTTTCACGTTAATCGGACTCCGTTTGGGCGGTCAAACGGGCGTTGACCGCCAAGTCTACTACAATACCCGACCGGGTGTCTGCTGAGAAATTGGCCCCAAGGGCCGCTGTCTCCTATACCCGATCGAGTATGGATAGATACTCGATCGAGTATGCCTTGAAAATTAGCCTTTTGGGCTCCTGTCTCCTGTACTCGACCGAGTATTGATGGGTACTCGATCGAGTATTGGGTTATACTCAAAACGGGTAGTTTTTGAGTAGGTTAACGTGGACCGATCAGGTGGGACCCGTCCATGTTGGTTACTAAGGATTATTATATGACTATAGGACTAGGTATTGTCCATAGTTAAGTGAATGCAAGGTTAGCCATATCCAGGTTAGGGTTTGGTTAGAAATAAGGTTGAGGTTGAGTATCCTCGGGACGGTAAATGATCCTAAAACTCGGTTGAGGTTGAGCATCCTCGGGACGGTAAATGATCCTAAAACTCGGTTGAGGTTGAGCATCCTCGGGACGGTAAATGATCCTAAAACTCGGTTGAGGTTGAGCATCCTCGGGACGGTAAATGATCCTAAAACTCGGTTGAGGTTGAGCATCCTCGGGACGGTAAATGATCCTAAAACTCGGTTGAGGTTGAGCATCCTCGGGACGGTAAATGATCCCAAAACTCGGATGGGGTTGAGTATCCCCGGGAGGGTTAACACTCCTGAAACTCGGTAGGATATTATGAAGGTAGAATGTAGCTCTTAAGCTAGGCATTCAGGAATGAAAGGGGAAAGGTTGGGTGAGTACCTTGTCTCTAAAAGACTCTTTTGTGAGAAAATGACCTACGGGTCAAGTATTTTACAAGTATATACACTATGTATTATCTTGGGAATGGGGTGACAATGGTTACACCTATAAATATATGTATCATCCTATTTTTGGGTCTCGTGTCTGAGACATTAGTTATTCCTCATATAGCCTGCTTGTCACTAGTACTTCTATGGAGTACTGACCCCTTCGGGGGCCCTCACATTTTTCAGGTTGAGGCTAGAGTCCTGCTACCTGCACCTTTGCCCAGGGTGAACTCAAATAAGGAAGACGTGGTTCGTGCTTCCATTCTTATTTGAAATTATGAACTTGCTCATGGATATTTGAACGATGTTTTCTATTAAACTATTGAAGGGCCTGCGTGCTCATGTTTGCCACGTGTGGCTAAATGTCAAACATATTTTATTTCCGCATTTGTTTGATTTATATATTGATGTTGATTGTATGGGTTTACTAATCGGTTTGGCAATAGAATCTATCGGACGCCTTGTATGATTTGATAAGAATGAGCTACGTTGTTCTTATTGGGTTGTACGGCGGTTGTCTACGTGGCACGGATGCGGTCCGGGGCGTGACAAGCAACAACAACAACAACAACAACAACAACAACAACAACAACAACAACAACAACAACAACAACAACAATAATAGAGTACTGTAAACTTTGAAACCGTGAAACTAAGCACTTGCATATGTAATTTAAATATTCTAAACTTTATATAAATAGTTATTTTCGCATCATTGTCATATGTTTTTCTTTCAAAAACGTAAATTAATGGGGTTAATTGCATAATTTAAAATTCTATTAAAAGTGTTGCTATTAATTATAGATAAAATGGAAACTAATAATTCAACCTTTTAGTGGTCTTCTTACAATAGTCCCACCTTTTCATTATTCATGAATAATCCAACTTTTGCACCTCATCTTCATTCACTGGTCCCTAATCGGTTGATGACCTGCTATTCCAAGTTATTTTCTTATCTTTGCAAACCACTATACCATAAATCTCACCTTTCACAAAGATAATATTTTGCAAAGATATGAAAATAACTTGGAATAGCAGGTCATTAACTGGTCAGGGACCAGCGAATGAAGATGGGGTGCAAAGGTTGGATTATTCTTGAATAACGAAAAGGTGGGACTATTGTAAGAACACTGCTAAAAGGTTGGATTATTAGTTTCCATTTTCCCTTAATTATATAGACTGGGGGTTACATTATTTATTTTCAATGAACGTTTAGAATGTTATTTTTTTTTTTTTTGGAAAAAGATGGCTTATATTAATAAGAAAGAACATAAGCAGGATACAACCAGACAAAGAGCTCATTGTCTACCGCCCGCCCTTGAACCAGACTTAGAACCTGCCACCGCCAAAGAAGCAATCAGATTCGCTGATCCTAAATTGGGCTTACCTGAGCCAATGACTGGCAAACTAGGCTCCCTATCACCTGTCCTAAAGTCTATAGTTCTTTTGCTGGAAAAACACGACACAATCAAAACAGAGTAAAGATCCAATTTAAAACGAAACATGAAGAAAACTAAACAAACAAAATAAGTTTCTTGAACCCTAGCACCTTGTACAACCCCAGGCGGTGGTTCGAGGGGAGGTCGGACCATCGCTATGATTGTTGACGCACCAAAGTGGTTTTCCATCGACTCGGTTGTCTCTTCTTCTTCTTCTTCTTCTTCTTCTTCAGCGTCTGTCCTCGCCACTGCATCCCCAGTCCCGGCGGTCCCCTTTGCACCGTCATCTCCCTGCTTCCCTCTCGATCTCCCTGCTTCCCTCTCGATCCGCACCAGAATGGCGGAAGATGCAAACCCTACTCAGAGGGTACGGCCGCTTCTAATGCGTAAGTTTAGAAATGTTAATTGTGTCTTCATTAATTCTAAAACATTTTGAATATGCAATTAACAACATAAACCTACATTTATGAAAAAAGCAATAATTGCTTATGGTGCTAAAATAAATGTTTCTATAAAGTTTGGGATATTAAAATCACCTATGCAAGTTTCGTGTTCATCTCACAACCCTTCAAAGTTTGGGGTATTTTAATTATTTAAATAATAATTAAATACGATAATTGTGATGTTATAGATATATTATTTTTTAATATTTGATGATTGAATTGTTGTTTAAGAATGTTAAGGGTATGTTTGTTAACAGAGATATTTTCTAGTTTTCCAGAAAACTGGAAAACCTAAAAAAGAATAACAGAAAACGGTTTTACGGAAAAAAGATGTATGTTAATAAAACCTAGAAAAATGTGTTTACTAAAACAAAAAAAATGAGATATGTCTCTTGTTTCCCTAATGAACTAGAGAAGTGAGTTTTACTAGTTTAATAAATATGAATTTGCATACTTACGCCTAGTGTAAATTTGGTCCAGTATTAGTTTCAGTCTAGTCCGGTCAACGACCCAATAGTCCCTATTTGGTCCAATTAACAGGCATCTTGGTCCGATTCATTCATCGACCAGACGGTCCCTATCCGGTCGGGTCAATGACCCGACAGCCCAGTCTGGTCAATGACCCAATGATCTCTATCTAATCCGGTCAACGATCCAACGGTCCCTGTCTAGTCCGCTCAATGATCCGGCGGTATTTGTCCAGTCTAGTTCAATCTGGTCAACGCCCTGACGATCCCTGTCCAGTCAGGTCAACGGCCTGGCGGTTCCTGTCCAATATGATCAATGACCGGCCGATAGTCCCTTTCCGGACTGGTCGACGACCCGATGGTCCCTTTCCTATACCCGGGATAGGGTACCATACTTGGACTGTACTAGGTTCAATTCCGGACCGGAACCGTACTTTCAGTCTTTTGGTCAGTCACATAACCGGGTAAAAACAATTTGATTAACAAGTTTTCATATTGAAAGTGAAAACAACAAATTAGAAATAGAAAAACTAAAAAGGAGAACAAAAAATTGGAGAACAGAATACATAAAAGAAAATTGGAAAATATCTTTATTAGTAAACAGACCCTAATTGTTTATTAAAATATGAGTTAGAAATTTAGAATCTTGTGCTTAGAGCTGCACATCGGGCGAGTTGGATTAGATTTGTTATAATTTTAGGGTCTACCCAATTTATTCGGGTTGGCCATTAACCAACCCGCGATACACAATATAAGTTGGTAAACCATACATGAACGGGTCAGGTAGGATCGGCTATTGAAAATATCACATCGGGTTGCATCTTTAATGCGGGAAACCAATGCAACCAATTTGAAACTCGATTAGCTTGTTTCCATAACATACAAAAAAATACAAGTATCTTTTATAAGCAAAAAACATTGGGGAATGGTATTAAAACATCATTTCGTAAACGAAGTTCATTTAGAAGCAAATGTAAATATATAATAATAACCTAGTCAGAATGATAAATGTGTAATTATAATTCCAATATCATAAAGTCCTACATACAGCACATTGATCTTAAATTGAAATTATTCAACAAAACATTGTAGCATAATAATAGCAAAATGAACTTTCGGCCGGATCAGGCAAAGTCACTATCGGGTTTGAGATTTCATTTCCGCAACCCTACCCATTAGGTGCGGGTTCGTACGGATTTTACTCATGAATATATTTTTGAATCAAATACCCGATTCAAAGGGGTGGGTAGGGTTGGATCGGGCGAGTTATGCGAGTTCCACTTATTTTTGTGCAGCCCTACTTGTGTCTTGTGCTGGAAGACTCGAAGTCCAAAAAGGGATTGAGTACACCCAACAGCCCTTCTGGTGGATGCCATTGTTGCCTCCCACTTCCCTAGCCCCCCACCCAACAGCCACCCCCCTTTCAAGTCCCCCACCAGCCAAACCCCCTCTCCAACCTCCACCAACCCAACCCTTAATCCTGCACCTTCACCTCACCGCAGGGACGTGTCTAGGGAGGGGCCAACCTGACCCCGATCCAGCCCAAATTTAAAAAATGTCTATATTTGTAAGGTCAAAAGTTCCGTATAAATAATTTTTTCCCAAAAAAAATCTTTGTTCTTAGCCCAGTTCGGCCCAGTGCTCTGGCTCCGCCCCTGCCTCATTGTACAACCATAACCCCACACCCCTACTACCCAACTGTCACCACCCCTCTCCCTCCCCCAGTGCCCCAACTGCCACCCCCACCACCCCTTCCCCATACAACCTTCTGCCCTAGCCAACTCACCGTCCCTATCCCCTTCCCCCATCGCTCCCCCGTCACCGCCCGAACCCCTGCCATCGCTTAAACTCCCAACATTAACTCTTGAAAACAAGATTTCACCATCAATCTGAGGAGAAGGATGGCAAAGCATTGGGTCACTACTACATTTTAAGGTCTAATGTAACATGAAAATTGTAACATTTGTTTAAAGTGTTACAAAAAGTTAACCTATTGTAATGGTTTTGAATTTATCGTTACGTTTGTTCGGTACTTGTTACATTAGAGAGTGTAATTATGTAACACTTTCATTGATTAAGATAGACTGTTACGTTCTTTTGATAAGTGTTACATTCGTTTGAATCTAATGTAACACTTCGAAAATCCAATCAGAAAAAGAGAGCTAAAAATATACTTGCGCCACTAAGAAGTCCAATTGCTCGACATTAATTAAGAAACCCAAAATCCATCGGCAAAAGTTGTAAATCTTCTGGACTTAGAGGCCCAAAAGTTTTAAAAAAGTAGGGCAAACATGCCTAGGGTTTCTTGCACCTAGCTCGTTGGTTTATTCATTCAGCAGGTTGTAAATCTTTCGCCGCAAATCAGCCGGTCTTAACACGTCGGAAATCAGCCGGACTCTGCAGACAACAGGGCACGATGGTCACCGCCTTCATCTTCTAACCTCCTCCATGTAACGGCCGCGAAGCATGCCATTCCGCGCCCCAATGGCCGTCATCTTCATTAATCCTCAATCTACGTTACGATTCGATATTCAGTTTTAGGTATGTTTTTTTCGTTTCAGACTTTATGTCCTTTTTTTGTTTTACTTTGGATTTCAGCTGCGGTGATTCAAAGTTAATACAGATTCAAAGTTAAAGTTGGATTTCAGACTTTACTTTACTTGCGGGCCAGGTGATTCAGATTCATCAGATTTTGTTCTACAACAAACCGATTGTAGCACTTTCAATCTGCAACTGGTAAGTTAATTTTTTTTTTGTTCCTGGGAGATTACATGTCTAAATTGAACTTTTTCCATTGAAGTTTTCACTTACTTGGATCTAAACAAAACTCTCTTATAATCATGGAATATACACAAAATTTAAAAACCCATATTATGTAATTCTAGGATTTATTTACTATTTTATCTGTACATTTACATAGGCGATTCTTAGACTGACGAATCCTAAACTCTTTAGATTATATGCATGCTTTGAAAGTTCTAGCGTTTTGATATATAGTAAAGGATTTTAAAGAGTTAGTCATTGAATTTCTCATAGAGTCCAATCTCGATTCAGGGTCTTAAAAAATATGAGGAAATCCAACTTAACAATACTCTGTATTAACTTGTTCTTCCTAGCCTGTTGGTTGAATAACTTTTTTACATATTTGGTATAGAATAAAGCAGAAGCTTTTAAATCTTGATATACATTGTGCCTTTTTATAGGTGTTAATGGAGAAGTTCGGTTTTAGTTTATTCTTGTTGCTTATGTTCTTGAATAACTTGATGTTTGACATGTATGTATTCAGTCTATTTATTTTATAAATAGATCCCAATAATTCATGTATTATGGTCAACCAGTAGTTATTAAATTGATTTTTGAAT